CACAGCAGCGACACGCTATGCTTGGCGTTAAGCTCTGCTAACTGCAAGGGTAACCACGCGGCTACGCATCCGCAATGCGAAGCTAGAAGAAAAGCGTTCGCAATTCAAAAAAGCATGACGCTCGAAAACCTATCACGGGCTGAGGTCAAGGCTAGGTACCCGACACTCTTTGGTAGATGAAACCCCAACCCTGGGGACCCAGGGGAGTTTCCCCGACCCACTTGGCAAAATGGCATCCTCCCCGATCTCCAAAACAACAACACTGAGGCAGCTAGGGAAATTCACTCGGTTGCTTCGTTCGCAGAGGTGACCAAAGCCAAAGGAGTGACAGCCCGCAATTTGGAGTCGGCTAAGGCAGCTGCCAACATGGCAGAATGGAGGAACGCGATCAACGCTGATAGCCCTCAATTGAGGGAGAAATTTGTGAAAAAACGCCCGTGGTTTCATCTGTGGCCCAGGAAAAGCACTGGGATCCATGCTTACAGCGTTTCTGGTGGAACCCAGCATTATTTCCAAGGGGGAATTGGTGCAGACGTTTTTTCAACAGATTTCGGAGTATGTCAACACCTCCAATGCTGAACTCGATCGTTTGCAAATTGTGCAAGGGGTGGAAGCGGGATACCCAAACAAAAAACAATAAAGATTCTTCAACTAAACATTCAAAGTCTGACTTACAACAACAAAAAACAGCTCCTCAATATGTTTCTAATAAACAACGAAATAGACATTGCAATCCTTTCGGAGATCTGGATTGTAAATAATGCGGACTGCAGCATCTTACATTACAACTTAATCGGCAAGCCCAGAGAAGATGGCTACGGCGGAGTAGAAATCTATATTAGAAAGAAAATTAGATTTAGCATTCTGAAAATAGACTGTGATCTAGAGATCGTAGGTATTAAGACCCTGAACATTAAAAAGAACCTCAACATTTTCAGCGCATACGCTGCGCCTTCAATGACACTTTCCCAATTCAAATCGGGCATTAAAAAGGTGTTCGAGCTTGCGGAGTCCCTAGACTACCCTTCAGTCGTAGGAGGAGATTTCAACGCCAAGTCTTCCATCTGGGGAAACCCGTCCAGTGACCGCAAGGGCCGCAGCATTGAGAATGCCACTCGTGAGGCGGGTGTTATCTGTCTTAACGAACCCTTCCCAATTCTCTGTTCTTGACCTCACCTTTTCCAATCTCAGGAACGGTAGAATTGACTGGCAAACCCTTAAATCCAAAATAACCAACAGCAACCACTTCCCAATCGTCATAACAGTCGAAGATTTAGATGCCCCCATTCAAGAGAAGAAAGTGCTGCACAATAGAATAAATCGTATTTTGGGAGCAAGCTGTTTTACCAATCTGCAAGAGCTCAACGATAAGGTCTAACCCTGACCAGTAAGAACACAGTTACCATTCCCAGTAACAACAAGTATATTGCCAAAAAATGGTGGAACGAGGGTATAGAGAGACTATTTCGCGTGAGAAATGCGTACAGGCAAAAATACTATTACACCAAAAAAATTTGAGGATGCCAGGGCCACTATAGAGGCCGACCACAACCGGCAAAATGAGATTAAAAATTGCAGAAGGTCAAACTTCTCAAGGTTCATAGAAGAGGTTTCCTCTTCGCCCTCCATGTAGAGCAGAGTAAAGAACCTAAAGAAATACGGACCAGTCAAAAACGTAGGGAACACACGGACAGACGAAAACGACAATGGCTTTCTAAAAATGGTCAAAGACATCCCCTCCACTGCAAGCAGTAGACCCCCATAAAACATTCCACCTCTGATTGGACCAGGCGACCCCGAACCTTTGGACATGGGGGAATTTCTGTCCTTCCTGAAATCCAGGAACCCAAATTCGGCGAGGGGCCCAGATGGCATTTCTGTCAGGATGCTGCAGCAACTTCCTGTGGGGAAAAAGCATAACATCTTTGAAATTATAAACAGGGTATGGCTCAGTGGCATCATCCCAGAGGTCTGGCGTAGAATCAAGGTGGTACCAATCCCCAAGAAGAATGCGGACCCCGCTTCCTTCCAAAACTACAGACCTATTTGCCTAATAAACACCTTGCTTAAGTCTATAGAGGGGTTGATAAAGTTAAAGCTGGACGAACATATTACAAGACATGAGTTTTTCCGGTCAGATCCTACGCCTTCAGGAGGAACCGGTCCACGGCGCTCTGCATCAACGACCTGATCAACGAGGTCCTGGCTCTGAAGGCGAGAGGGAATCAGGTCGTGGCGGCCTGTCTTGACCTACAAAGGGCATTTGACTGCGTAAGAGTCGAAACGCTAGAGCAGAAGATGAATGTCATGCAGTTCGACCCGAATCACACTGCCTGGATTGCCAGCTTCTTGAGCAAGCGTCTACTCATCAACGGCAAGAGTGAGGTTGAGGTGAACAGGGGAGTTAGTCAGGGCAGTCCAACTCTGTTCAACTTGTACACCGCAGAACTGCACGACATAAACGATGGCAATTGCTTAGTGTTTCAGTATGCGGACGACTTCTTTATTATTTGCTTCCACAAGGAGATTTCCATTGCCAAACGTATGCTCCTATGAAAAATAGACAGCGTTGAGGCAAGATGCAACAGGCTTAACCTGGCTTTCAACCCAGCCAAATCCAAAGTGGGTTACTTCAGCATCCGAAGAACCGAGCTGAACATTGAGCACCAAGGAGTCGAGATTAGGCAAGAAGATCAGATAAAATATCTAGGCAGAACAATTTCAGCGAACAACTCAGCCTCAGTGCACATCGAGCAGGCCATTTCGGAGTCAAACAGAACCTGTGCGTTCCTAAGACTACTCAGTGGGTGCCATTACGGTATCAGCCAAAAGAGAGGGCTCATAGTTTACAAGGCCTTTGTCAGAAGTAGACTAAAATACGCTTGCTCGTCTTTCAGCAACTTGTCCAAATCCGCTCTAGCCAAAATCAAATCTCATTGTAACCACCACCTTAGAAAGTCACTAGGCTTAATCATTTGCACCCCAATCTCGATTATTTACCACATGGCAGGAGAACTTCCCCCGGAATACAGAATGAGATTCCTGGCGGCAAAAGGGATAGCCAAGGCATTTGCGTACAGCCTCCCAGCGAGTAGAACGGTGTCCCTAAACAGGGACATAAACACGGGCTACGCCTAGGCATTTCGGGAGTTCGGTGATATTCTGGAAAGAATCGAGGTCTTTGAGAGTACAACTTCGCATTGCACCAAAATTAGGTCAGACTTAGACTTTTGTAAGGGGGCTGCTGAGAACATGCACAGCTTAGACCAGGCGGGCATATTAGTTTTCCATAGGGAGAAAAGGGCACTCCTGACAAGGGGAGGCTTCGAGACCTACTACACTGATCCAGTAGCTAACAGACACTCCAGCGCAGCTTTCCTACACTACAGCTTAGGTTTCATAGACAGCTTCTACACGCACAAAACCTTGTCATCTCTGTCCGCCAAGTTGCTTGCAATTGAAAAGGCCTTGGACCATGGTATTTCCCGCGGGTTTTCTCGTATCGCCATCCTAACGGACAGCAGAAACGGGGCTCTAATACTGGCAAGGAGCATTCAGGATATTTTTATTGCTTATAAAATCAGGGAGAAGATCCGTCAAGCCCAATACCTAAAGAAGGTAGAAATCCATTTTATACCCGGCCACGCCAACATCCCTCAGAACACGGCAGTAGACTCAGCAGCCAAAGAAGCACACAGACTGGGAAAATATACAGTCGTTAAATGGAATCTTAAAGATGCAATATGTGAGATACACCGAATACTGAAAGAAGAATGGGAGAGAGAGTATGCAGAGTTTGCCAGCGTTAAACGCAGAGGATACTGCTCACTTTTTCCCTCTACCTCAACAAAACCATGGTTCCTAAATAGAAATAAGCAAACATTGACGCTAAAAGGATCAAAAGACTGCTTAGCGGCAGTGCATACTATCGATGACGCATCGCATATAATTTTTAATTGTACCAAGTACAACACAGCAAGACTAAACTACCCATCGCTAAGGAAATATAATAATATCTATAAATTCTTCGAAAAAGAAAAAATTAGCTCATACCAAACTTTAATCGAGTTCATCGACAAAATTGGAGTAAAACTGTAATTAGTTACATATTTCGACGTGGCGATTTCTACCTTGTAAAGGCGGGCGGCCAAATAATCCCCCTCTACCCAAGGGTAGAGCGGTAACATAAAACATAAAAAAAAAAAAAAAAACTGCACACAACTATACAAAAACATGTATTAACAATTAATTTAAATACCTCGTCCTGTTATTTCCTTATTTTTTAGTTGTATATAAACTTTGTAATCCAGCTACAATTACAGTTGCAAGTTGCTCAATTTTTCCCGCACTTTTTCACAAGTCAAAGCATCTCAAAATCAGCCGAATTTGAAAGCGCGCTAAAAACAAATGGTACTAGGTAAAAATCTTCTAAAACCAGATTTTTTACATCTGGATATTTAGGAATATGAAAACTTAAGTCGCATTAAAATATTTTACACAAAAAAAAAATTACATAAATGCCAAAAATTCGGGCTTTTTAGCCATATACCCGGCATGGAGGTTGCGTTCGTGATAATATCTTATTAATGCAGAAGTAACGGGATGTCCCTTGGGAAAAGCAAGGTTGCTGAGCATTGAACGGGAGCGATGAGTGGCCGAGATGACCTCCAGTTCGAAGTAATCCAGTCGGATCGATGAACGGAGAGAGCGAACTGAGGGAGCTGGATTACACGACCTGCCCAGTGCTTTTGATCTCCTTCATGACTGTCCACAAATATGACAGCTGATTTTGCAGTACAAGAAGATGCGTTCCTTGCTGAATATCAGAGACAGTGAGCCCAGAATGCCTAAGACGATGAACAAATTTGTGTAGGTTGACGAATGTGTGCTGCATGCCAAAGAACGAACTTGCCAACTTACATGCAGACGTGAGATCGGCTATAGTCGCTTCCGAAGCTCTATAGATCGTCGCTCCAGTAACAGGAGTCACCTATGCTTACCAAACTGTTTCTCAAATCCATCCAAGTTTCATGCAACGCCGAGGGTAGGCTCTCATCCCAATCCAACTGTTCTCTCCAAAGCTGCTGAAGGAAAATCTTGCACCTGAAAAAGATATGATCGTGGAAACGAATTTTTTGAATTTGTGTCCAACGCAGACAAGGCAAACAGCCTATCCAATGCGGGGTCCCACTTTAAAAAAATATTATTTCTTATGTCGCTTACATCAGGAATTCCTTCAAGTACCTTCTGGTGACTAGAGTACCATTTCCGAAGCTTAAAGTTACCTCGAGACTGGAGACTTAAAGTTTGATGCATCTATTCGATGACCTCTGAGACTGAGTTACCGCCAGAAATGAGACAATTTATGCTGCAGAGCACCTCAGCCAAAAGGGGTGGGACTCACTCTCGTCGAAGGACAGCTGGTGTATTGCGCTGACAGCTAAAAACGAAGCGTCCCTCTTACCGTATTTTACGGTGTCTAATGCGTAGACGTGTACATCGGGCTTGATTGACACTTTCCATAGTATTGCGATCCAGTTTTCATTCCAAACTAAGAAATCGTCAGTTAATCTGAGTGTAAAATTCTCCTAAGCGATCAACAGCATGCTTTAACGGAAGTCGGACTAAATACTCTACTGCTGGCAAACGTGAAAGGTGGCTTGCGAAATGAACCTCACAATCTAATTCTTCCCTTGTATTATAACTAGCCTCCAGACTTACGAAGAGTCTCATCCAATCTTGCATTCATCCTGGATTCCGAATCTAGAAAATTGCTCGTTGCCAAGAGAGCCGAGCTTGCTACCTTCTGCCCACCGCCCAATACGATCCATCCAAGCCGGGTCTTCTGTAGAAGAGGCAATCCATCGGTGAGCTTGATTTGCCCTACGAAGAGAAGGTCGTAGAATATGGTCGAACCAATGAGGAGATCTGTGGGGATGGAAAAATGCAGGATCGGCAAGCTGAATATTGGCGGGAATGTTCCAATCGGCTGCATTAACTGCCAGACTCGACTGGCTATCGGTGATTGTGGGGGCGATGAGAGCAGTAAGTGTGTTCGAGTACTCCGAAGTGCGAGACTGCTTGCAAATGCTCACGGTGGATCCTTCTGTGGACACGCTAGTATCGCCAATTGTAGTGGTCCTTCTGGAGTAGAACCAGCTGGGGAGTCTTGCGCTGTGGGTTGAAGCGCGTCGAAATGCAGTAAGGTATGATGCCTCCTTCCGCATACTCTACATTGGCCCTCTGTGCATGCACTAGTCCGATGCCCCGATTTAAGCCAGTTAAAGCAGAGCGACAGCTCAGAAAGGAAGTTAAGACCTTGTGGCGAAGGAAAGGCGACAGATTTGTGAAGATGTTGCAATAGTATATTCCGGGGCCTACCGAATGGCAGAAAGGGCATCTAGACGGGTCGGCGTAAGAATAAGAGGCAACAAAGGTTTTCCTTAAATGACCTTTCTCACCTGGGCTCTAACAGCGGGAGTCGCTATGGCGTACTGCACGTTTCCATCTTCTGGCACCGTTTCTCGAGGAAATCGTAGAACTCCCCAGCAGAAGGTAGCTTTTGAAAAGATATTTTTCCGGTGACGCAGTCTCCTCCCAACCGAATCCAAAGCCGCATCCGAGAGGCAGGAGCGAAAAGGTTGAAACTTCTCGATTGCACTGAGATCTGTTTTCGCTTCGATGACCGTGTTGAAGATGGCAATGAAGTCCACATATGCCACGTAGCCAACTGAAAAGTTAGGTAGCTTTAACTCGAAAGCCTCTGTTTATGAGCCATGATGATGGCTCAATCCATGGCAAACCTTTTCCAGAATAGTTTGGTATTGTGGTCGAATGAGCAGCTACGCGAATGTGGCCTAACTCGAAGGTTTTGAGCAGCTCACTTCCAATCTCATCTTGATCGAGCGATTCCAACTGTGGGACTTATTAATTCTTGATGGATTTCGCCAGCATATCGAGGCGCACATCGATTGACGCTGCACTAACTTGTCGATTTCATTTCCCTAGAATGCTTCGCCAAAACGGTGCAGCGGTCATATAAAGATTGATATATACGCTTGGAAGGACCTAGCCTTTTATCGACCATAGCAATATTTTTGCCCGCGCCTCTATTCGGGTTGTTTTCCGTGACACGAAAAGTCAAGAGGCGCTGCAGAAGCTGCGCAGAGGACGTGACATTCGATAATTAAAACAACGGAATCTCAGTAGGCTGCACTCCCACTTCACTTGCAGTCGAACTGTTCTCTATTGTACAAAATGCATTTTTGGCAGCACAGTGACGAATATATATTTATGTAACTTTATAATGAAACCCGGTAAACAATTGTAAATTAAATTAAATTAAATCACGTCGGTGTCATCACTGTTTGAGATGCCAAACTTTTTTGGCATCTTGTATGTATATTTATCCAAAATCGAAAAAGTACAAATTTGGGTCTTGAACGTTATAGTTGTTTAGTTATACGAGCGGCCAGCTGAAGCCAGTTGCTCGCTCGTTCGCCCGGCCAGATAAATGATTAGAGGGCTCGATATGAAACCTATGCAGAGAGAGATTAGCACAGAACTGACTTCGGCAGCGATAGCAGATCTTGGTTGCATGCGCTTTGCGTGCAGAGCCAGGTAAAGTATTACGGGTTTTTGTATAGTGTCCTAATCCATATTTTCTGTCAAGTGACGAGTAAAGATATCGCAGTTAAAATCTTCAGACATAAGAGATATGTCAGACGTTTTATGGGTCAGTTTGGAATAGTCAATGTTCTTATTAGGTCGATAAATGCATTCTAGTAGTAATTTATTTGAGCTTTCTACGTTAAGAATATATTATGTTATATATTACAAATATATTACAAAAATATATTTTAGTTCGCTTTCTGCGGGCTGTGTGCATACAATTTTGTTTAGGATATTTCTTCGTGTGTAAGCCGCAGGTAACCATTACATGAAATTAACAAATCACTACTCTCGGAGACAAACCAAGTTTTAGACACACAATTAAATCTATCTTATAATCGGTAAACATATAGCTTGAATCTTCTATTTCCTTTGGCAGGCATTGTGCAAGCGGTAGCACGTTCAAAATAAGACGGATTTTCCAAATACTCCTCTTCACGACCTCTAAACTAACGCTTAAGTCGTGTTTGAGCAACCTCTCGTTATTGAAATTAAAAAATATAAATCGATAAAGAAGAATTTTTAAAATCTTGTATTTTTGTAACGTTTTTTGCTCACATCTGGTTGAAATGAACTTAGCAAATTCCACAAAGCCGATGAGTGCATCTACATATGTATATATGTTTGTACCATATGAAATACATACATGGGTGTTTTTCTAATTTTCCTGAGTTTTTAAATTCAAAGATTATTGAAAAATACCGAACAAAAATCAACATTTTTGCTATAAAATATTTAATATTTTTTGAACGGTAAGCGCAAACCACAATATGTTTGGGTATACACATAGATGCATTCATTAGTTTCATAAAATGCAGAATTTCATTGCAACCAAATTTAAGATACTTAAGTTATGTGAAACAAAAAAACGGTAGCTTTACAAAAAGCGCCTGAAAAAAAACCCCGACCATACTTAAAATACTTAAAACGAGAAGGGACGTGTGAGACGCTTCTTACGCGTCACAACTTTTATACCAGGTACTCAGTACTACATCTGTACCTTAGCGGTTTTTTTTGGCAAATTTTACATATATTCTTTAACTGTCATCTGCATCTACAACACTTCTCACACCAACACGCTCCTTTAGCTCGCCCCCCTTCCCAAGAGCCACACACTGCCGAGTCACAGCAGAGGCAGAGACCGTACACTGCAGCAGCATAGTGTGAATGAGATAATGTGCAAAAAACAAATATAAGCTGCGGGACGGGGTGGGTTTAGCCACTGCAAATTAATTTATTCATTCTTGCTATAGTAATTATCCAATTTGGTTATCTGATAGGTATGGTCATTCCCTACGGAAGGGCGTTTTCTTTTATCTTCAAAATTGTAGCTTTGGGAGGTTTTCGCCCTCTTGAGTGGGCGGAACGGGGTGGGGATCATTTTTGAAATACACTTGTAACAGTGTGAGCATACAGAAGTCTGGATGCATTTGGTGGATCTAGCTCTTATAGTCTCGGAGTACTAGGCTCTCATCAGGACGGAAAGACGGACAGACAGACATGGCTCCATCGACTTGGCTATTGATGCTGATCAAGAATATATATACTTTATGGGGTCGGAAACGTTTCCTTCTGTGCGTTACATACAACCGTTATTGATACAAATACAATATACCCTATTTACTCTTCGAGTACTGGGTATAAAAAAGTTATGTCATAAAAAAACCCATTATTTTTAAACAAAATGTAAATCGTCTATCAGAAAAGTCGGCTTGGTTCGAAGCGTAAATAAAGAGTTCAATTTTGTCGGATAGTGTTATAACTGATAAATAAATGATGTCTAAATACAGTGACTATGGGACATGTCCCATGAATCCAAAAATTTGTTGGTTTCACATGTCAGCAAAACTTTGTGGAAGAACTTTTCTCAAGAATCCCCTTTTTTATTGGATAAAATAATTATAACAGTAAAATGGTTTTAACTTGAAGAAAGTGTACTTTTGCGTATTTGAATAGGGTTTCACATCAAATTTAATCCATTGTAGATTTATTGTAGAATTACAATATTGGCATATAGATGTATTAAATTTGTCTTTCTTTAAGTTCTTTAAATTAATTTATATATTTTTATATATTACATGGAAATACGTTTTTTTTTACATTAAATTTGTCTGCAATTGGTGATCTCGTCAGACAAATGCCCATATATTCTTGATCAGCATGAAGAGCTAAGTCTACGTTTACTAAGTCTTACTGCTTAAACTTTTAGTTTATCTTCGCTCTATCTGCACTTTACATAACTTCTCACATCAACTAAAACGGCGTTATCGTAATATATTGGGCTATAAGGTGCAACTTGCACAAAGCACAGTGTACGGTGTTGTGAGGGGGCTAGATTGCTAATTAATTTGTTCATTCTGGCTATAAATATGATTCGATCTGATCCACAGTCCAAGTGTAATTAAACATTGTTTCCTTATATCGCATGTTTAGATGAGGCCTATAACTAGTGCTAAGGTCGAGTTCAAGCAACCGAGACTCTTGCATAAAACCGAGGACTTCGCCTTAAATAAATGTACAAATGGCTATCCACTCGAACTACTTTCTGGAGTATGCAAACTCTGCGAGTA